GCCGCTTTTGTGCGATAAAAACCAAAACTTGCAGTCGATGCAACAGAAGTTGATTCGGAATCAACTCCAATCCCCTCCAGTGATGCCACAAGCCGGATAAATTTTATCCGTATGACATTTTAGAAAATTGAGGCAACTCGAGTTGAAGTGGACGTTCGGAGACCAGCGCCTAAGGAGTCCTGGCTATTAATAGACTCGCGGCTTACATAGGATTCCAATCTGGATTGTCATATTGTGATTCCAAGCTGGTTTGCTATTGTGTACAGTGGGGTTGCGTTCTATTTTGTTATTAATAAGACGCTGGCATCTTGCGCTCCACACAAAAGTCGCCGTCCAAGCGCGCCGAGAGTGCATCCTTGGCAAGGTCAAGCTCCTGGGCCGCTGCGATCGGTGCGTTTGCAGTGTGCAGCTCAAGACGCTGCAGTGCATGGTACAATCGGTCCAGCGCTGGGCTGCGCATGGAAACCTTCGCCACAGACCGGACGCCGGCTGGCTGAAAATCGTTCTGTCGAACGTCGTCGGGCAACGTCGTTGAAGCTGCTTCATGGGCATCCTCTTCTCCCACGCGAAAGTCGTCGTTCGTGCGAGTACCGGTAACGAGCGCATCCTTGCCGATGTCGAGGTCTTGGACCTCTGCGACCAATGTTTCGCGCAGCGATTCAAACTCAACCAAGAGCTGGTCAAAGCTGGGGCGCCCATTTGGATCATTGAGCACGCAGCGCTCGTAGATGCTCGCAATGCTTGACGGCGCGTTCTCCGAGAGCTTTGGCCGCTGCGTGTTGTCCACAATATCGGGTACAGGCCAATCCAGGCGGGCCGAGTGGTTTACGATGCGATCGTGGTACGGCTGCTTGCGTGTTTCAATTTCGGCGAGCACTAAATGACGCACAAAATGAGATGCCGTTGTACAACATAAAATACAAATCTATCGTACCAATGCCAAAGCTGTACACGTCGGTCATCGACGTACACTCGTCGCCGCGGAGAATCTCGGGCGCCACCCAAAACGGCGCGTACAGACGACGACGATGGCATAGCTTCGAGAGACGCGCTAGACCACAATCAGCAAGCTTGGCGACTTGACCATTGGCGCTGATACATTTGTTGATGTGATGCTTGTCAGTAATATGGAGGTACTAGTACCTGATGAGGATATTGGCGGCCTTGAGATTGCCGTGAATATACTTTGGCTCGTGTGAGTGCAAATAGGCCATGCCACGGCAAATGTCGACAACAAACTGAAGTAGCAGGTCCGTCCAGCTCAGCGCAATGGATTGGTCTAGTAGGATGGATCCGAGATCGCCGCGCTCCTCGTATTCTGTCACGAGGTAGCTACGTATAGGTCGACGTGAGATACAACGGCCTTGGGGAGATGCTAGTACAAGTTGTCGTCGATGTCGAAACTTAAGCCAACAAAGAGGACGATGTTGGGGTGCCAGAGCGTTGAGAGGAGCACAATCTCTTTCGCCCAATGCCTGACGTCCACATCAAGAAAACGAACCTTCTTGATGAAGATGGGCATTCCATGAAGCTCGCCTTTGAAGACCTGCGAAGTCCCGTACGAGCCTTGGTCCAAGCGCTCGCCAAAGTTCAGGTCGCAGTGGTTGATCGCAGCCCGCCGGAGCCTGCCGGTATGATCCTCCATTATTGACCAAGACATACGAGATCGCATTGTGTATAGCACTGGAGCTGGACATGACATGGCCCTCGGCAAAGGCAGACACGGCCAGCGGCATCTGATCCAGCAGTTGCCCATTGTCCGTAACTTCTTGCGGACCCTTGCGGCAATATCAAAATGCAGAAAATGGCGTGATCCACGTAATTCCCAATGGCGAATGATGGGCTTGACTGGATGGCTCGCAAGGTATACCTTTGAAAAAAGATATACTTCACCAAAGGATATTCAAGTACTAGTATTATATTTTTAAGTGGTTTAATTCTAATAGCATTATCTTTTTTACAGGACGGTACTACTGCGATAGAAATTGATATCTTTGAAGAATCAATATCAATGTTTTACACAGTGCTCTGATGCCCGCTCGTTTCATTCTCAGCCGGACTGCTGCCTTTATGCGTCCTCATCCCAGGGACTCGACGCTCTTGTCAACGTCAGAGACTGCTGCGGAGGCCCAAATGCGCATCGTCGACGAGTTCTGCGAGGCCTCTGGTGCGGCGCTGAACCTCGCAAAGTGTGTGACAATCTACCTGGACGAGACGCTGCTCGACGACGACGACGAGGTCGCCACCCCAGCAGAAGCAGTACCTGTACCAGCAGCCGACGTGACCGTCGCTCAAGCCGCGCCCGCTCCGGCAGCTGATGGGGCCGCAGCGCCTGCTCCGGCAGAGGCGGAGGCGGTCTACCGGGACGACGCGGTCGATCCCGATACGATTCTGACGCCGTATCCATCGCCGGGGAAGACGTCGACGCCGACGATGAGACCGACGATGCCGACGCGCTGGCGCCCGAAGCAGAGGCCGCTGCACTCGTGGCTGCTGATGCCCAAGAACCCGCTCGCGCGCCACCCGAAGAAGCACCAGCCGCCGCGCCGCCCGAGATGGCCCAGCCCGCCGCGGTCGACGCTGCCGCA